AGGGCATTTTGCCAGATCCCAAGCCACTTCGGGCACCTGAAGAAAAACTGGACAAGACCCGATATTGCGATTACCACAAGTCGCCCGGGCACAACACGGGCGAGTGTTTGAGTTTGTTGGCCGCATTGCTGCGTTTAATCGGCCATCCGCAGCTTAGAAAATTTTATCGTAACGCTGATTCCCAGAGGCGAGGTCCTGGACGTCAGATCGAATCCTTTGATGATGAAGATGACGAGGAAGACCGAGGTACAATGACAAAACGCATCCGACCAGGGGATAAAGAAGTATTCATGTTTACCTCGGAAACCTCCGGTTCTGCCCCTGCTGAAATTTCCCGAGGACGTAAGCGAGATAGATCTCCCGAACCAATGCAAATCACTGTCCATCGGGTCAATACTAACAACTCCCGGAGTACGTTGTCCCGCCGACAGGTTAAGGCGTATGCCCGACAAGCTTACAACTCCGGTAAACAGGTTTACACCACCGATTTGAGAGATGTTCTCAACAATCGGAATTGCCAAATAACTTTAAATATGGAGGACGCGAATCACTTCGCTCATCCTCATTCTGACGCCTTGGTCATTACCGTTCCGATATGTGGTATCCCGTTTCATCGTGTCATGGTGGACACTGGGGCCTATTCAAGTATTTTGATGCTGAAAGCTTTTGACAAAATGGGTCTTGACCCCGCCGAGATCAGACCTTGCAACGATCAAATCCAGGGGTTTAATGGCAGTATTTCAAAACCCATCGGAGAAATCACTTTGCCTGTCCGATTTGGTACCTCGGAGAATGTCACCAAACTCGTTATGGAGACTTTTAAAGTTATGGATATTAATAACGAATACAACGCCATCATCGGTAGAACGGCGTTGTACAAACTTTGGGCCGCAGTCTCTATCTTCCACTACGCGTTAAAGTTTCCGACAACCCGAGGAGAAGGAACCCACCTCGGAGATCAAAGAGAAGCTCAGCAACTTGTAACGTTCATCCCATCTCACGGAGTTCATTCAGCTTCAACAAGTAACAATGAAACCTCCCCACAACATCACCATCTGAATGATACGATGACCGAAGAACCGAGCAACCACGTCGGTGAGCCTTCCACCTCGGATCCTTTAACCGAGGACCGAGGACGCCGACCTGGAAAAGAGCCCCTCCTGGAAGAAGATGAGCTGGATCCCAGAGCCTTATTTAAAGAAAAAAGTCGACCTGATCGAGCCGAACCTGGGGAAGACGTAACGTTAGTCTATATTGATGAACCAATCTTCCACAAGTCATTACGTATCGGAAGTCATCTTCAGGAACCACTTCGGTCAGAACTTATTACGTTTCTCAAGCAGAATTCTGATGTCTTTGCCTGGAAGCACGAGGATATGAAGGGTATCGACCCCGGTGTCGCTAGCCACAAACTAAACCTCGATCGAACAGTCCGGCCGGTTGTACAAAAGAGGAGGAAACTGGGGCCGGATCGTCAGAAGGCATTGGAAGAAGAAGTCAAAAAACTAGTTGACAATAAATTCATCAAGGAAGCCAAATACCCGACGTGGGTCTCGAATCCAGTGCTCGTTAAAAAAAGTAACGGGTTGTGGAGATTGTGTATTGATTTTTCCGACCTCAACAAGGCGTGCCCAAAAGACAGTTATCCGCTTCCCCATATTGATTATATGGTTGACGCCACGTCGGGACATGAACTGATGAGTTTCATGGACGCATACTCCGGCTATAACCAAATTTCTATGGATCCCGAGGACTCTGAACACACTTCATTCTATTCGGCCCGATGTCTGTATTGTTACACTATGATGCCGTTCGGATTAAAAAATGCCGGAGCCACATATCAACGTCTTGTCAACAAGATGTTCGCAACATTGATCGGACACACTATAAAAGTGTATGTTGATGACATGCTCGTGAAGTCGGTGCACGCCTCTGATCATATAACGCATCTTCGAGACATGTTCGCCATCCTCCGATGTTATTCCATGGTACTGAATCCAAAGAAATGTACCTTTGGAGTTGAATCCGGAAAGTTTCTAGGCTATATGGTTAGCCAGCGCGGGATAGAAGCCAATCCGGCCAAAATAAAGGCCATTCAAGATCTAACTCCCCCAACCTCGGTCAAGGGTGTCCAGGCCCTAACCGGCCGACTTGCTGCGCTCAACCGGTTCATCTCCAAGTCTACAGATCGTTGTAAGCCATTTTTTGAAGCAATTAAGAAAGGGAAACGTTTTGAGTGGACTGAGGAATGCCAAAAAGCTCTC